GTCGCGATGGTGTAGTTCTTTCAAACATTTTAATTTAATTTTATTTTATTTTAACTTACAATGTATTTATGTATGTATGTATATATGTGAAGCTGAATCTTGAGCTAATTGAGTTGCAATTTTGTATACACTCTTAGTTTAAATGACCAAAAATGCGAAGCTGCATGATTTAACTCTAAATGAATAAAAATGACTCTTAATTCTTTAGTCCTGATACCTATTAATGCACCTGATAAAAAATTGATTTTATTTGTTTTAGGTAATTGAAACAGAGAAGTATATAAGTGTCGTGGTAGCCCAGAAGTCAGGCGCCCGCTTCTCATACCTGGCAAGTACTAACAATGTGATTTTTTCTCGAGTTATACATAGTTATATATTTCTATCTCTCTGTTGTTCTGAGTAGGCTGCGCGACGTCGCCGCGTCCGCGCACGCTGCTCATGAGGAAGAACCCCTCTGTGGTTCGAAACTAGTAGAGCTTTTCTCAATATGTACACGTGAGCAACCCGCGATTTTTAGTTAATTTAGTATGGTCTCACGATAGTTATTATAAAAACAAAGTTATATATTTCCGCACTTATTCAGCCACGAACGATACACTGTAAAGAAAAATATCCTGAGGAAACCTGGACTTATTATTATGCCTAATTGTTTCTTATTAACTAAGAAACTGCCAATCCGCCTTGAGCGAGCGTGGTGACTAATATTCCATCCTTGTCCGTTTGAGAACAGACCCGTGCTGAACAGTGACCACTTATAGTCTGATGATGATGATGATGATGATGATGATGATGATAAATAAGCAAGTTAAAAAGGCCAATAAATTACGTTAAATATACTTATAAGTAATCATGTATCAATCATATTTACAATGTTAAAAGTGCTGGCGTCGCCAAGAGACAGATTTTCCTGTCTGCACCGTGAAATGGTGTGTGTAGCGATAATCCATTTCTCAACGCTGACATCGTGACGGCGATGATACATCGTCTTACGATTCACTGCAACACAGCAGTGAGATCTCAACGGCAATTTGTTATTTACGACCGTATTTTTATTAAAAAAAGTGTGGAGGTGTCTGTAGGTGGGTGATTCTCCAAAAAACCTTAACTTTTATTTAACAAGTCATTATCCTCCCAGGTTTTTAAGCATCTTATTATTTTATTTTATACAATATTTTTAATCGGTTGCTTGTAAGCAGTGGTGAGATTTAATTTAATAAAATAATTATCTGTGTTTTAATCAGCAGACTCGTTAATTTTCGGTTGAGGATAATGACATTATTATTTTTTTTTTAATTGATGTGAAGAATCACCCAGTACCTATATATCAATTGCCATGTTGTAAATCAGTGGCATTCATCGTTATGCAGTGATGGCTTTTACTCCGGCCGTGTTTACATTCGTCAAAAACCGACATCGAGAGTCGAAACAGACTTGTGTCGAAGTCACCGCTTCTTTAAAGAAAATCTCAGATTGGGGTATACTTAATTTAGACAACTCCAAAAAGACACAAGCCTGCCTGTTCGCATTAAACATAGGTACATATATACATACCTAACTATCCTCAAAACACTAACATCAAGTAGTACAGTACATATTAAAAAAGTTCTACAGTAAAAAGAATAAAACGTACAACTCTGGTACAACGCCTAACCTACTTACATAACTCATCAGCATACCTATACACGTTCTCTTTGAGGACTAAGCCAGTCGATTACGTAAAGCCTAACTCTATTGACAGTGTTAAAGGTACCAGGGCATCATCCCACACAAGGAAGTTACTTGTACCAAGCGCTCAAGCTTCAAATTGTTTCCTATTTCGCAATACCACGGTCAAAGAACGACCACTACACTGCAAATAAAATGTCCAGTTCCCCGTGCACATTTGACTCAGCTGTCGGAAACGTCCGACCTACAAACATTTTATGCTCGCCTGGTACATTGGTACTCACGTAATTAGTAAAATGTAGCACATGTGCTTTTTTATGTAGGAATATAGTTTAAGCAACACGTATTTTTATACTCTTGTTTACTCAAAAATATTGTGATGATTTTAGAAAGAAATATATATGTTCTATATAGTACCTAAGTAAAATCAAATTAATGTAATATCTATCGGATATTTATTCGACCGTGCAAATTGTAAAGCAATAAAATTGACCCTACCTATTACCGGCGGGTAGACAAATTGGTACGGATAGCAATCCCTGTTGACTATGACTCGATGATCAAGGATTTTTTATCATATAAAAACATATCTAACTTTTTCACGACAAACGTCATTTCATTAGTGAATATTTTGTTCATGAAATTATTATTGTAACGAAAATAATGTTATCCTTAAAAATACACATGTAGTGTTTTAGAATACCAGCGAGATCTATTACAACTTTTTAGTGTTGCTCAAGTCAAGTTACATTGAAAATTCCTCCAAATCAACTGAATTCTCGTTAGCTTTCAATAAATAACAGAAGCGCATTTAAAAAAAATATTAGATATTTTAAATAATCTGCAACTTTACAACCCATTCTAAAATACACAACATTGGAAATTAGAACAGTCTCCGATTTGAATAAAGAAAAAAGATGAGATGAATAGAAATTACATCGTGTGACTGGAGATTATTTTTAATCGGAGATCTTTAAGAAAGATGCGCTAAAACTCTTATGGTGCCAATATTTTATAATAAAACACACACATAAAAGTTAACGAATCCATTTTCAATAAAAATGATACAAGTTTCTATGAAGCCCAAAATCCAACCCTCAGTGGCGAGGGAGATTTAGCAGTTCAAAATAAAGCTTAGTTAACTGCATTTAAGTTACGAAGCATCTGGCTATCGAAGAGTTTAAACTTGGAATATCAGCGAGCTAAATCCGTCTGGAAATTTTGCCAGTCAGTGTTTGGCAATATGATTGAAATGAATGATAGCTTAGCTTAACCGGAATGATGCCACAGTCTAACAGAAAACCGGCGTGAAATAATGCTTGCGGTATTTCGCTGTGTGAGGGGAGGTAACAAAGACCCCGATTCATCAGTTTTCAAAAAAATAATAATCATAAGTGTGGGAGAGCCATGCTTCGGCACGAATGGGTCGGCTCGACCGGAGTGATACCACGGCCTCACAGAAAACCGACGTGAAACAATTACAGTGTTGTGTTTACCGGAGGCTCCTTCCCCTTCCCAAACCCTCCCCAGTTCCTAAATCTCCAAATCCCTAATCCCTAAAAGGTCGGCAACGCACTCGTAACTCCTCCGTTACGGGTGTCCATGGGCGGTGCTGATTGCTTATCATCAGGTAATCAGTCTGCTCGTTTGCCGACCTAATACATAAAAAAAGAGAAATAATAGTTCCTAAAACGCAATTGTCACTCTTTTTCTATTTCCAAAGACGGTTGCTCGTTAGCCACCTTAAAAAAATACTAGAAAAAAAAACATTTATAAAAGTTGGCAATAAACTAGGTTTAATTGCTCCTACATCATTGTGCTCTGCGTGACGCATGCAATGGCGCAGGACATTCCGCTACATTGGCCGCCCGGCCATATTGCCTGCATGTACCTAGTGTAGTTTTATATTGCCACTATAGAAGCCATTAATAGCTACAACATTCTCCGGTTTTATCCAGTCCTAATAGCTTTAGCATGTGATGTTGGATATGAGCATTTAGGCTATTAACAGAAGGATTATTTTTGTTTATATTTTTTATTTAATGCGTCATCGTCAGCCATCGGCGTAGTTCCTTTACACCTACAACTTTAGTGGAGTAGCAAACGCGATAAGAATTTGAAGATTAGGAGAATTAGGGCTTTAGAGGGATTAAGTTTCGGGCCACCGCACCGGCAACTTCACCTACATGGCGAAACACAACTCTAGTTCCTCACGCTGGTTTTCATTGAAACGGGTATCACGTCGAGCCGGCGCGGCAATTATACTATATGGAACTGAAATGGGTATACCTATTACAGTCTACAGCAGTGCAAGGTAGAGTATTGCTTCTTTCTGTTTACAAAAATATATATTAAATGGCTCACCAATTACAAATTCATAGACAATTATTATTTGTAATAATTGATATTAACACTTATTTATAATTATTTATAACTAGCTTTTGCCCGTGATTTTTGTTTTAATAATTAACATTAACGATTATCTATGATAATTTATTACAATTATATATAAAAATAAATTTAATAGAAAAATGTGAAGAAGATGACCAAAAAAATAAAACTAATTTCCTTTAACCTCGGTACCAATGGCCGACGCGTATATCTCGCCCTTTATTGTTTTACAATCCGCACAACACCAGTTTTTTTGAAAATTGTTTACATTTTATACGATATCTGAAATGTATTTTAATAACATCAATATTTGGACGAAGAAACATAATAGGTAATATTCGTAAATCGATTTAATTACTATACGTCTTCGTCTAAATTGACCTAAACATACAATGTGTGCACATTAGAGTCTTTTATAAAGATTTGTCACTACTGTATCCGACAAAAAGTATCACAGTATCGAGCACAAACGAATAAGAAATTGGACTTCGTGAGCATTTATCTTTTCAAATCGAAGAAAAAGTCTTTCTTGTGAACTGGCTTTAGCTTTAATCCTTAGATAAATCTTAGTAACACCTCCTTTTTTCCACTTTGTAGGTACTAACAGACAGAATTATTTTTGACATTTATATCTCGCAACAGACTAACCTATAAAGCTATCCAATTATCGGCCCAACCTACTTAATAAATGATATCGTAATACAAATGTGATTTCTGTTTATTGCTGACGACGAATTAATTTATGTACGGGTCGCAGTTATAATCCCATCACCCTTCAGTTAATAGCCTGAATAGTAAACCCATTGAATCAAATCGCTAATCATTCAGAATGTTGATTGAATTCCAAATTAATTACAGCGGCATAAATACCAATAAAAAATAATAATGCACTAACCAGACTTGAAAAAAAAACTCTAAACTACTTACAGATAAACGTTTTTCAGCCATGTAGAGATACAAGGAGTTCCGGATCGAGAGATGATCTCCGGCTACCGTAAGCGCGGGTCTGCGGATGGTGAGTAAGGGTAACTCGCCGCCCGACCAGAACCAGGCCCGAGGGTACGGCGTGTAGCGTTCCGCGCGCGCCTCAAAGAGATCTCTAACAGACCCCCACAGACGGGGCTCTATAGGGCTGATGTTCAGCCGGGGATGCAGGTTAAGCGCAATGAGTCACCGCGGCCTCGGCCCCAAACAGAAAGGGACGCGGGGTTTTTAGTCACTAAGAGTCTGACATTCTCGCCTTACCCTGAAGTCATTTGATAATTTCCCCCTGACAAAAAAAAGGGAGCTCCGGATCTCTATAAGCTACTATGGCCATCTCTGCTGGAGATTGGAGTAAATTGCTGGAAGATAAAACTAGATTTAGCAACAGATAGGACATGATTGAAGATTGCTATCTTGTCTGCCGATAATACTTTGATAGATGACCGGGTTTTCACATTACAAACTATACCCTACTAATATTACAAATGTGAAAGTTTGTTAGAATGTATTAATGTACAGTCAGGGGTCGAAAATGCAATTGCACTCTACCAATTTTAAAATGACTAAAATTTCTTTGTAGTAAAAGTTCAATAAATGATATACCTACAACGGCAAAGACGCAGAACGAATGAAAAAAAAACTACATTGGCTACTTTTTCTTCAATAAAGAACAAATGATGGAAATATTGCAATTTTATTGTATTTAATACATATTGATACACGAACACAAATTTAAATAAAGAATACATAAAAACAACATGGCTGACTGATTCCATCGATCTCGTCTCGTGTATAACACCGATAAAATAAATTGCACGAGCTTAAAAGACCAATACCCTATTAATCGTGGATAACAGGTGGCAGGTTCATTATAAAGTTATTTAAAAATAATTGCTTTATTTTGTCCTGCAACCGCACTGCCGTGTATTACACTGACAACTTTTAAATTTCAATTAAGAAGTTCTTGCATATTGTTCGGATTAGCTGCAGAACAATCCATCGATATAAATAAAATAGAATATCAAAATGTGTCAATGAGGGTACACGGCTGATGTGGTGTTAAGCGCAATGTGGCACCGCGTCCTCGGCCTAAGTCAGGAGAAGGAACGGAGGTTAGTCAGTAAGAGTCTGACACTTTCACTCCATACCATGGGCTTTCACTCCATACCATGGGCGGGAGCAGTCATTTGATGATTTTCCCCTCACAAAAAAGCGCATGACTCAAGAACGCCTTGACCAATTCTACCAATTCTTTTTTTTTTGTTATATTTATCAGGAGAATGTTCTTATCAAAGAAAATATTAGAAAAGTAGTGAAGAAATTAGAAAAACGTGACCCTTACACTGTAAGTGGGATAGTTGGATATAAGGGAAGCGGGGACGGGCCGCTAATAAAATTCGTCTTCTTTTTGTGGTAACGACTTGAAGTCACCTTACCAATACACCTTGCAAATGCATCAATGTAATAAGTACTACTTAAAAGTAAGGACGCCACGTTTCTTTAGCCAAACCTTAAAAAACTCTATAACTAAAAAAACATTCCCATACGCCATAATCTGTGAACCTTTATAAACATTCAAATACCTAGAATAAAGCTATTGACGTGTATATAATATGGGACACAATAAATGCTATCCGCCCTACCCACACACAAATATAACACAAGTAATATGATAACACCAATCCCTAGCGTCGTATTTGCAGTGTCATTATGTTATTGGAACTACGCATACTTCGTTAATAACCCTTCGAAGCCATTAAGCCTTTGACGCGATGTGCAAACCACCAACGCCACTAAATATCACATTAATATTTGAAGAATTACTAATAGGACAGAATATATTATCACCGCATATTGTTTTATCCATTGTTAATTGGCTTTATAATCTGTTTGACATTTCAATCAGGAAGAGTGGATATGAATATTATTTAGTTTAAATTTAAAGTATTTTCTTTTTCATTGTCTATTTGGTTTTTCTTTTGTATTTATGATTTAAACTATCTTCTACCAGCAAAACACTCGCGTTACCCAGATAAATAGTAGCCTATGTGTTATTCCAGAATATAATCCAACTCTGCAAATTTTCATCAAAATCCATTCAGCAGTTTCTAATACGAAAGAGTCATCAGTTATCGTCATTATTTATCATGGTGATCTACAGGCAAGCATAGCATACACTTTTTCAGCCGGCGTTGTGGGGCTTGTGTAATAAGGTACCTACCGCAACCTCGATCCAGAGCAGGAGCAGAAGCAAGGGTGGGTGGTTTTAGTCAGTAAGAGTCTGACACTCTCTCTCGCCTAAACCTGGGAGAGTAATAGCCATTTATTTGATGTTTCCCACACTAAAAAAACAAACCTCTTTAAAAAGTGCCGTACGTTTCTTGCAAAAACTTTACAACTGAACAGCTCATATATTTTTTCTCTTTCTTACGTGAACTATGTACTCTTGTTGTCTCTTTCTTGCACAAATTTCGAAGATATTTTTCTCGTACCTTTTCCACCAATAAAACAGAATGGACTCTCTCTCTCTCTCTCTATTAATTTTACTGACTTATACTGAAACAAAAACTAAGATCATTGGCTTCGGCCTAGAGTTAGCCAGACCGAAACTGGTTTTTATTGAAAGACATAATCAAGATAATGTAAGTCCGGTCCAGTGGCCCGTAACTAATAGTTTTCCTAACAATAACTCGATCTTTACGAAAAACGCAGTTGTCTTAAACTCGACTTCGGAACTTCATACCAAAGAAATATTGAGGGTATGAATCGGACAAGCATTATTATTATTATTTTTATAGTATAAGTCGGCAAACGAGCAGACGGATTACCTGATGGTAAGCAATCGGCGCCGCCCATGGATACCCGCAACACCAAAAGAGTTACGAGTGCGTTGCCGGCCTTTTGGGGATAGGGGTTGCGGATGTAAGGATTGGGAAGGGATAGGGGAAGGGGAGGGATTGTGCCGAAGCTTGGCTCTCCTACACTTGAATATTGCATAAGTTCAACTTAATCTAACTTATATCTTAAGAGTGAATTATAAAAACTAGTTTGCGGTCACAACGGGACTCTTTTTCATGAGCTGTGTGTGTGGCGCGGCGACGTTGCGCATCCAAGTGAGACAATAAGAGACCCGCTGTGACTTGTAACTAGTAGAGCTTTTCCCAATTAATTTATGTTAGTCGATATATTTGACAATCTAATTTTTACTAATATTTTTTTGTTTAACTAGCTCTTATTGATTTTAGCGAAGAGTTGATGAACAATAAATATTACATGAATAAAGAAATAAAGTTTTTCAACTCTGTGGACGTGTGTGGACGGCTCTGTTGAACCTAGTCACTATAGTTCATATTAGATAGTATTATCTATTACTGTAGAATTGAGTAGTTTCCAAGCCAACACTGAGTATTATGTTGTAGGTATCAATTATTATTAGCCCACTAAGTTTTGCCCGCGACTCCGTTCGCGTGGAATAGTGACTTCCTGCAGATTTTTGGTATAAAAACTATCCTATGTCCTTTCTCGAATTCCAAACTGTGTCCGTACCAAATTTCACAGAAATCGGTTCAGTAGTTTAGGCGTGAAGAAAAGACAGACAGCAAGACAGAGTTACTTTCGCATTTATAATCTTAGTTTGGATTTTAGAATTATATTTAGCTTATTATTTTTTATACTCTATCTCTGTTTTTAAATCTTTTAATCGTTATTTCTTATAATGTATATCTTTTTTTTATTCATAGCCTTCGTGTGTTATGTCGAATAAACACATTTCATTCATTCATTCATTACTCATATCTTCTAATTGTAACCGTATATCGACTGAACGTGAAGCCAACAATCCCTTTCCACTTCATTCTTGAATACTAGTTCCGAATTTTGAAAATAATTATTTTGTGTTTGACGATATTTATCGTAGGTCGTATAATACATACACTTGGGTAAATCAATTGTATAACTTACCTACAGTTAACTAAAACAATCTTTTTCTTTAGCTTGTAATTTTGATCGGAGAAGTTACCGACTTTGTTGCGTGAATTTTGGTACTATCTCCAAGTTACTTATATCTTAGCCGCTTTTTGTATTCTGTATAGACTCAACTATTATCTTACGAATAAAGGTAACTATTCTAGAACGTTTATTAAGTTATTAGGTACAGCCACGGGTCAAAAATGCAATAGCACTCTACCAATTTTAAAATAACCAAAATATCTTTGTAGAATAGAGTCAATGGTTGAGGGCTGCTTTAATTTATAGCATAGAATCTACATTATTGAATAAACTGAGCCACTGAACTTTTACTCCTTTAACTTTTACTTTAAATAACTGTGAGCCATTGAACTTTTACTACTAAGAAATTTTAAAATTGGTAGAGTGTAATTGCATTATTGACCCCTGACTGTACATACAAGACCTCAGGGCGTGTCAAAAAGTGTGATACTAAAAACTATTGTATTACCCCGAGATCACACAAGAAACCACGAAGTTCCTCCGATGAACCCATGTCGACTAAAAGGTTCACTTACAACTTTTTAAATAAACTAGATATCGAAATCCTATAATTGTAAAGTTTGCTATACATAGAACATGCCAAAAATGGCAAATTTGCCATTATGATTACATTTAAAAAATACATCTGTGGGAGAGCCATGCTTCGGCACGAATGGATCGTCTCGACCGGAGCGATACCACGGCCTCATAGATAACCGGCGTGAAACAACCACAGCGTTGTGTTTCGCCGTGTGAGTGAGGTTACCGTAGGCCCAATCCTTACCCTCCCCCAATCCCTCCTCTTTCCCAAAATCTGTAAATCCCTGATCCCCAAAAAGGTCGGCAACAAGTCGGTTAGTCTTCCAAGGTCGACAACGCACTCGTAAGTCCTCCGTCGTTGCGGGTGTCCATGGGCGGCGCTGATTGCTTACCATATCTCGTAGCTCGTTAACCGACCTATGACATAAAAAAAAACATCTTTTTCCATAACAAAAAACCGTAAAACTACATAATAAATAGTTCAACTAAAAGATTTTAGTACGA